TGCATCCAGTGGAGAGAAGCACAAATGGCACCACTGTCATGTCAAGGTGCTGCTCTGCCTGTTTTCAGACCCCAGAGCATGGGTCACACCCGGGGTCCCCTTTCTCTGTTCTTCTCTATTTTAGCATACACTCTTCCTTTCCAAGTCTGCTTGGTGTTCATACATTTTAAATATTTATGTACTGAAATAGCTCCTTGAATTGTGTTGAGACTTGTAGTCCAACACAACCTCTCAATTCACCTTTCCACGCTGGCTCTGTGCAATTCAGTTCCCATTTATCTCTGCTGTTCAAAATCAGCTCTTTTGCTGAGGAAGGCCTTTCAAAGGATGTTGCATCAGCCCATTGTTAAATAAACCTTTAGACATTTATAATGGATTCAGCATTTCCTGCTTTTTACAGTTCCAAAAATGCTGAATGACGTGCAGACACACTTCATCAGGATAAGATTGCTGTATCAGCCCCTCACTAAAATGCACTCATTATTCAAATAATAACTGTATGTCTCCAGCATGTGTTCTGTGAAATGTGTGTACATGATGTGGGCGAGTAAACCAGCCCCCATTTTTTTTTTTCAACATGCAAATCCTACTTTGGCAGTGAGTTGAAATACTTTAGATTTTGAGTCCTTTACTACCCAAAAGGAGTCACCTGAAGAGAGATTTGATCATTGTTTTGGGCAGCGTGTTTAAAACTTTCAGAAGTTTGTAAATATGGTTTTCAGGGCTGACTGATCTGACCTGTGATAAGCCTCACTCTGAAGATGGGGTGTGGGCAGCAGTGGTCAGTGGGAGGCTCTGGGAAAGCTTTTCTCCATTAATGCTGAAACCTGATGGAGTTGAATGTGAGGAACACCGGGTCCATGGCATTGCAGAGACTCGGGGTGCTTGCTTGGAGGGGACAAAATGGGTCAGAAATGACAAATGCCAGAAATATACCAAGAAAATCAACTCTCTAAAGTTCTGTTTCTTCTACTGTCAGGAGATCAATTTATAATTTTGTTTTTTCTGTAATCTCATATGTCTTTAAAGAATTGCTACAGAAGAGAGAAGCAGTGAGGAACATATTTCTTACCCTGCTGTGGGTGTTTGCTATGTCATTAACACTTGGAGGAGAACCACCTTCTTGGAATCTTGTCCAGGCAGGTTTAAAAGTAAGGCTGAAAGAAGAATGATATTTCATATCATTAAATACTAGATGAAAATGCATCTGCATTCTTCCTTCCTCTCTTTCTCCTTTGGTAAATAGTGATGGCAGTACTTATTTTGGAAAAATTATTTGCCCTTCATCTTTTGGGGCACTTGCATATTTTTGACAATGGGCATTCTAAAATTAGTCTAAATCCTGTATGTGTCCTGATCACTTTTTATGGAGAGTAATAAAGCTGTGCTGGAATTCATGCTTAAGAATTGAAAGAGATAAAATAGTTCAGGATAAATGGGATTACTTTAGGTTGAGAACAAGGGGCACCAGTACATTTTGAGAGCAACACATCCTCAAAATACTAAGTACCTGTTCATGTGTTTTATTCATCCATGGGCTTTGATACTACTCATTATTCTGCCTTATCATAAAAACCTTAGGTAGCTTTAAAAGCTATTAAAATAACAAGTTGCTAATGTGTTCTGTAGGGTGGGACTATCACTGGGGATCTGATCCTGGGTGATACATTCCCTGAAGCTCCTGCAGATGAGGTAGGTCCTTAGGTCCCTCTTGTGCAGCTTTCAGGACAAGAAGCACAATGCTGTATTTTCACAACAATGTTCCCTGTCTGCTCTCAATGCCAGTTAAAAGATCAAGGCTGACCTGGGTCGTTTGGTATGGAATGGGGGAATACAGCAGTGAGCTGTAATTTGAGCAGCCCTTTTCCCCTCTCTGCTTGGTAATGACTTCTACTAGTTTAATGTATTCAAAGCAATAAAAGTTTAACTCAGCCAGTCACATAAAATTATTGATAAAAATTGGAAGAGTTTAGCTAGGAATAGTGAGTTGGTTCAAAAAGCATAAAATGCCTGCTGAAAGTGGCATCTGGTGAACAAGAGACCAGGGCTGGAAATTAATTTAGGAAAAGGGATGTGAATGGAATTGGGCAGAGAAAGCAGCAGGAGGGTTTGGCTCTTCCTTTCCTTGTGTTTTCTTGAGTCTGTTCTTTGGCACAGGTACTGAGGACCAGTGGACAGGAAGGGACAAACTGGTGGTGAATTATTTCATGCTCATCACCCATTCCAGAGCTATCCTGAGGCTGTGTCAAAGGGAATGATCTTGGAAAGCTCCTCACCTCTTGGGCTTTCTCAACAGATTCCTTATTTTTAGTCATTCTCTTAATTCTTGTTTTGTCTTGCTGCTTGCACTCTATTGCCTTCAGAAAAGCAGAATTGAGTACCAGGAGTAATCCACTCCATCTCATCTCAATTAACTGTTTTTGTCCTGGAAAATACATTAATAATATAATAAATAGCATTTTTAATATCTGATATATTAATGTCTTTGGTGAGATTGGCAGTAAGGGATGTTTTCCTAATGACTGCTAGGGATGAAACCTGGAAACAACACGTTTTGAATGAGGTGTTTAATACCTTAATTGTTTTACTTTCTTATTTCATCAACAATTAGTGAGCTTTGAATGGCAGTAATTTCCTGTGGCACAAAATTGTGTCTTGGCCTGAACTTTAAACTCTCCAGTAGTTTTAGTCCTAGTTTTGGGAAGCAGGTGTGTGTCAACATCTCACTCCTCGAGCCAGTTTCATCTGTAGTGAAATCACTGTGCCCTCCTGTCTCTTCTCACCTCAGGCACATCAGATTTTCAGTCCAGGGAGTCTTGGTGCTTGCAAATTGTGAAGACATAAAAATGAGATGAAATGCCCTTACAGCCCATGTGCCCTTTCCTCCTCATTCTCCTTCAGCAGCTCATTCTTAGAAACCCAGCAGCATCTCATCCTGAGCATACCTGGCACTGATTTTGTGTATCGAGTGAGGCGCTTCTCACAAGCTCACTTGTGTTCACTCTCCCATCTCCTTTTCCTGTCACACACTCTGTTTTTTCTGTGCAGCCAAAGAGCCCCCAGATCCCAAGAGCAGATTGCTCACCCAGCTGTGGGCAATGTCCCCCTTGTCCCCCAAGAAGGTGGCTGTGATTTGTCTGTGTGGGTGAGCAGGTGCCACGTGGGCTTGAGGCTCATGAGCCCTCTTAGCCAGTGATAAACAACTCACCAGCCCTTCCATCCTCAAGTGCTGCCCTCACTCAGCAGAGAAAGCATCCTCAAACTCCTGACAGCAAACACATCCAGGCTTCAGCAGACATGGGAAACAGGAGGCATAATGAGTGTTTTCCTGCTAGAAGTAGGTTGGAATTGAAGCCTACTCCTCATCCCAGTACCTTTTGTTCACATTCCTGGAATTATCTGGTGTGCTTGCTTTATCCCCAGCCATCTGTGATGGGCTGAGCTGGGAGAGATAAGCTCAGTAATCAGAAAATTGAGGGAAGCATTTCTGGCTGTGATAATCTTATCAGGCAGCTAATATGCATTAACATTTGTACAGCCTGATGATGCAGGTGGGCCTTTGCTTATTTTTTATTCCTAGATGTTTCTTGACAGGCAGGGGGAGAATGCAGGGCTTTTTGGGGTGTCAGGGGGAATTAGGTCAAACCATTTTTTGGTGCTTTCTTCTGCTCTGTTCCTTTGGTGGCAGAAGGGGGTGGGAGCATAATCCAACCATCTATTATCTGCCCTCTCCTGCCAACAGCACTGCCATGCTCTGCCTGTCTTTTCTGTTAAGTATGGAAGGGCAAAGAGGCAGCATGTCAGAACTTCAGTTCTGTCTAAGCAATATGACTGTCCGTGACAAAATGCTCCTTTTTCTTGTAAAATTGGAGAGTTTCTGCAAAAAGCTTGCAGAAGTTTGCCCTTGCAATGGGATTTTGCTCTACAAGTCTAATCTATGCTGTTGCAGGGAATGGTGTATTAATGGATTATTTCCCTGATGCTGAGCACTGAACTCTCTGTGGTCATAAGTTTTGCATTTATAATTAAGGCTGGATTGCTTATTTTTTTCCTCCTGGGTGAAAAAATATAATTTCCATCAACAGATTTATTAGGGGAATTAGTCAACAGGTGGTGAAAAGACAGATGACAAAAGGAAGTCCAGAATCTCAAGGATGAGTATGTGAAGAAGGTCTGAGCTGGGAGTAGGTGTTGGAGCAGAAGTTTGAGTATCCTCTAGGTAGTTTGTCTCTGCTTACACTTCATAATAAATCATTTTCTGAGGGGTTTAGAAACAGGTAACATATGGAGTTTATCAATCTGTGCGTTGTCATGAACTCTGAATTAGGCATCCAGACTCCTACAAGTCAGGGAGCCTGGGAATTGTAGAGTCTGGGTAAGAAGTTCTCATGTCTGCAGAGTTTTGAAATACTTTCTTGTGAGTTCTTACCCAAACAAAGCCAGAGGCAGAAAATATTCTTAATTGTTTGTTTGTTCAGCCAGAGCTACCTGAGCAGCCAGAGCTAGAAGTGTATATTGGAAAGTGCTGGAAATATTCCCCAGTCTTTTGGATTCAATGTATCTGTGTCTCAGAGCTGTTGTGGACAAGACAGTGTAATCCTGTGGTTCATTTCTTCTGGGAGGGGAATTGAGTGAGGTTGAACTATCAATCCTGACCCTCAGGTCCCAGCAAGCTCCTAATGCCACACAGAGTCTTCTGCCTCCCATTATCCATGGGGGAAAATAGGGGAAATAGCTGAAAGAGAAACAGAAGCTTTGCTAGTAACATTCAACTTTCTGTGCCTCATCTGTTGTGGAGAAAATGTCAGGAAAGGCAAAAGGAATTGCAAAGGGAAGGAGAGTTCTGAGAGGTTTTGACATCCAACACGAGAGAAGTTGTGCTTCACATCTGTATCATGAGAAGTCTGCCCTGTGCAGAACCTCATGATTTCCTGCTCCCTTTGCTGTTTGTGTGTGCCCTTAGCAGTGCTGCAGGAACTAATGCCTTTTGTCTCCTGCAGCTGGAGGTGGAGATGAAGGTCCTGAAGTCTCAGCAGTGCACGGCTGAGCAGAGCACTGCCATCACCAAGGAGGAGGTGGACACGCTCAGGTAGGCAGAGCAAGGGGAAGGCCGAGCAGGTTCCACTCTTTTTGGTGGAACTAATGAGAAGGGAAATGCCTGGGGCAGTTCCACTGCCTGCTATGGTTTTTGTCATCACCTGGTGGAGCAGCAGGTACAGGAACTCACCATGCTTTAGTGCATGAATTTTATGTGTATAGACTGCCTGTGTCCATGGGCTGCCTGCTATTCAGGCAATGGGATGATGATCAGAACATATTTTCCTTGTATTCCTGAAGTAGGATGTTCTTTTTCTGAGCACAAGTTTTATTTTCTCACCAGCTTTTATGGATGTGAGAACCCCATGAAGCATTAGCAGAAACACTCAGCCCATGATCTGTCCTGCATTTAGATACTTTATAAGCTTTGCTATCTTTTGGGAGGCTTCAGGCTCTTTTCTTCTGATATTTGGGGTCTTTTGCTGTCAGTTAATTCATAGGCCTGGCTCCTGCATCACTGTTCCCCCTCTTGACTGATTTCCTGTGGAAATAGCATTGCTGTTTGTTTGTTATTTTGACCAAATCTCGACTGTAAATACAGGATCTGTTGGCATGTGTGTGAAGAGGTTTAGAATCCAGCTTTTGTGCTGCTGATGCATGTGTAGCACTGGAGATAAAAGAGGGATGTTTCCCCTTGTGCATTGCTGGAGATGGCAGAGGGGTACCTGTTGTGATTCAGTGAAAGAGAAGTTACAAAACAGCATTTCAGCAGAGGATACATGGGCATTTACAAAAGCTACAGTGAAGCTAAACAACCTTTCCATGTATTTATTAAAGCTTTTATAGCTTTCATTGCAAAGCAGGTGACGCAATAAATACTGAACACAAAAAAGTTCATCTGTTTCTGAATGTTTAATAAAGTTCCTTTTATTTAAGTTGAGCAAATCAGGTCCTCACAGACTGAGTATTTTATTCTCAGCTGATGTAAGACTTTGGCTGGACTTTCACTTCTTAATTCTTTTATATTTTCAGCTCCATCACAATAAAGTGTGACTGCCTCATAGGACTGAAAGCAAGGTTTTGCAGCAAGCAGAATTTGTAGAAAGCAGAAATTACTGGCCTGTATGTTATGGCTTTGCTCTTGTGCTTTGCCTCTGGAGCTTGTTTTATGGCTTTGAAAGCCCAGTTCCATAGCAGGAGGGAGGTGCTTGAAAATAACACATGTTCAGCTAAGCTATTCCAATACATTTTAGGGTTGTACACCTCATCTTGGGGACTTGCTCCTATAGTTCCCTCAAGGTGCTGTAATAGTTCTGGAGGCCCAAGGCATACATCTCCTTTTTTTATTCTATCATATGTTTGAGTTCTGCTGAAGGAGATAATGCTATGACTTCCCTTTTTCAGGGAGATAAACCTGTCTTCATCAACTTTTGCCTTTTGTGGTTTTTTTTTTTTTTTAGCTCATTCAGGCTTTTCCTGTGCTAAGGCACACTGGACCCTCTGAAACCTGAGGTTTACACTGCTGCAGGAGTATTCAGCACCTCCTTGGCAGCATTAAACCTGTCAGTCCTGATTAATAATGTGCCTGTGTATCAGTAAAGCCAGCAGCCTGTCTGCTCTCTTCTGGGACCTGCAGGTTTGCAGAGTTTTTCTACAGTGCCTCCCCAGTCTCTCTCTCCCTGGTTGGTGTTGCTGCAGCACCCTTTCATCTGGGAGATATTCAGGCTCTTTATTTTCCCCTCCAAGACTCATTATTTGCTGTTTAGCTTCCCTGAACAGCATTTGCTGCCTATTACCTGAGCAGCTTCAGGGACAGTGTGTGTAGGGGGAAGCAGCTGGACTTCCACAGGGTCCAGACCATTCTGGGGGGGGACAGGCTTGTGACACTGGGGATGGAGATGTCTGGCTCTGGCCTGAATGAAAATCTATTTCCTGGGCAGGGATGAGTGGAGCTCACCAAAACCTGCTTCTTATGGGATCGTGGTGTTTGATTCAGCTCAACCTCAGTAGCCCTAAAGCTCCTGATTTTCCCTCTTTGTTTTTAAGGAATTTCTTTACTAATCTCACTCTCTCCTCCTTCCATGAAATGGTGTCAAACCTTTCCCACAGTGTCCCAAACCCAGGCCAGTTCCCAGTGGGGTGGTTGATGGGGCAGAGCTGTTTCCCAATGATGGGCCATACTCTGAAGGCTGTTTCAACAGAGGCCAAGCTTCTGCAGTTGTTTCACGTTGATATTTTGGTTTTTCATCTCTCTTGCTCCTGAAGCTGTGGGTGCATAACAGCCACAGTTCTACATTTTAATTCCAGACTTTTTTTTTCCTGTCATTTCTTTACTTAACCACTTTTTGTTCTCGTGGCTGATTAAAATACTTGTCCCAGGCCCTGATGCTGGTTATTTAGTTACAGAGCTGGTTATTTAGTTACAAAGCTTGGATTTGTTTGATTTTGATCACCCTTTTCACTGCTCAGCTCTAACAGTAAATGCCTTCAGCATTTTCTTTCTGCTGAAGCTTTCTTTGCTGGAGCACTGCAAGCCAGTCCCTGCTCCTTTCTCCTTACTGTTGGCTTCTATTACTGCTTCAGACATCTCCTTTACACTCTCAGGCACTCCACATCTAAATGGAGAGAAATCTCAGAATTGACTCCATAAAGATTTTTTTCTTATGTTTCTAGACTTAAGCAGTCAATGAATATGGTTGGACTTTATTTTGCATTTTCTGAGCATTGTTCAAGAAACTGGGCCAAGTTCTTTTTTCACAGAAGAGGCTCCTTCTCAAAGGAGCACAGAATAAATCACTGTATTCTCCCAGCCCTTTGGAGCTCAGGAAGAATGTGCTGTGATCCACATCAGAACACTCCTTGTGGCTCAGCTGGATGTGTCCTCTCCATACAGCAGCAGTGAACTGGGTGGGTGTGAATAAAGAACAGAAGGGGTTTGGAGGAGAGCAGGGATCAGAATGGGAAGGGATAAGGTCTGCTGTGCTCATCCTCCTCCTGTGACCCTCAACAGCACCAGTTCACTCAATTCTCTGTAGCTGCTAAGGATGGCAACACAAACTCTACTGTTACTCCTTCCTTCTACACAGCACTGCCAGAAACTAATTCTGGGAGAAAACATGGGGAAGAACACAAACTTCCAGGTTGGAAAGGGGAAAGAAATGCCACAGTTTCTGAGGGAGTTATTTCCATCTCTGTAGTTTATTGTAGTCTTTGAAATCCTGTAACCTCCAGGATGGTCTGTCAGCTGCTGTGGGCTGAGCCCAGCCTCCCCTGTTAGCTGCTGTCAAGAAGGAATGTGGAAAACAGGAGCCAGCAAGAGGAGTGTGCAGAACAGGAATGGACTGTTGAGCCTCCAGACATTTCCATATAGACCCCGTGGCTAGGAGCTCACTTCTGAAAACAAAAGCAGGGGAGACATAAAGGAGGAGGAAAAAAAATCCATATTAATCCTTTGAATCTGTATTTACCTCCTGTGAGTGAACGAGAGCTTTTAAGAAAAATACCTTTTGTCTCATTTTTCTTTAGTATGGAAAGTAAATTTTCAGCCAGAAACTTGAAAGACTTCATCAGTTTTTCCTCCTTCTCTTGAGAACAAAGTGCTATTTCGTCAGACCTTTTATAACTTTAAATGTGAAACTCTCTCCCAGCATCATCGTTTCTGGAGAGACAATAAAAGCAGTGCTAATGCTGTCATTTCTCACACTTTTTGCTGCTCCCTCTGAAATAATATTTGTTTATATTCTGCAGATCCTGTGAAAAGAAACAGTGGTCAACCCATTGAGTTCCTGCACTGTAGAGTACAGCATTTGGGCATTAGCACCTTTTAGAGGGAAGGTGATAACTGTGCAGAAACTGGTATTTCAGAATCTATAAATAAAAGGAATATATTTAAAAAGAACTTCACTGAAGACTTAAGTGGCAACAGCTGAAGGACCTTTTCAGCTGGAACAAATCTGAACTTTTTCTTTCTGCTGTCAAGCTGCAACCCCAGTAAATCCTAAATGTTTTCTGTGGATTTAGTGACTGGGTAGAGTTACAGTAATTCAAAAGAAATTCATGTCCTTGCCAATGCCCATTAGTCACACTTGCTGATATTCTGTCTGCTCTGCTCCTAACACCATCTCAATGCCATCTGGATCCCTTAATAGCATCTTCCCAACATACGTTTTGTGCTCCATTCAGTATTTTCCTGTTCTGCAGTAGCTCTTCCACATGGCCTTGTCCCCTTGGCAGATGGGGCCTCTGTGAGACGTGTCCTCATTGGTGATCTCCACAGGCAGCCACATAACACAGCTGAGAACATTAAAAACCAATAAAACCAGGATAAAAGGGTGATGGTAGGGGGAGTTTTCACTGGTTAATTCCACTGAAAAGCTCTGGATTCAGAGAGACTTTTGGAGTGCGTGGATGCTGTTGAAAATCCAACAGATTGCCCCCTTTTTTCCTTTCTGGGGTAGCAGCAGCCTTGTCTCACGATCTCAGGTTTTTAGACAGACTGAAAACACACAGTGGGATGTCTCCTGATTCCCACAAGTGTCATTTTAGGAGACCTGAGGCTGTAGGTGGGTTTTTTTTCCCTCCCTCCCCCTTCTGATTTGAGATAAGGAAACATGCATTTAAGGCAGTAGGAAGCTCTGTTTTTAAAAGAGGGAAAATCCATGAGGCTGAGCAAATGCCAATGAATCTGTATTCTTGCACTAAATTTGATCTTGTGAAAGGTTATGGTGGTGGCATCAATTTACCTTATGCCTGTGGAGCCTTCAACTCTTGGTTTAGCTGTCTGATACAGGAAAATCTTCTAGACAGGTGAAGAGATCTTTGCCAGAGATTAAATATTTTCATGTTTCCAAACCCCTGTATGGAGAAGTTAATGAATTCTCCATAAATTAATTCAAATGGTTTCTTCCTGTATCACGTAACTTGACAATGGTGTTGCTATTTCAGAAAGTCACTGATGTTTCTTCCTTCCTTGTGGCACAGGGCTGTTTTTACAATAGACACCAGCTTTTAAGGCCAGGTTGGATGGGGCTTGGAGGAATCTGGTTTAGTGGAAGGTGTCCCTGCCCATGGTGGGGAGGCTGGAACTGAATGATCTTTAAGGTCCTTTTTAAACATTCTGGGCCAAAAATTGAGCTGGTAGAGGATTGTGCTGTACCCAGGTGTTTCTGTACCCTGCTTTTCATGGTGCTCACATGGATTTGCCTTGGGTTGTTCTCCCTGCTTGCAGGTAACTCCAATATGTAACAAGTGGAGGATTGCCAACTGGTGATAAAATAGCATCACCTCTCTTGTGCAGGTGTTCCTGGAGGGAAAAGGCACAAGGAATGTGCATCAAGGCTGCCTTTGTGGCTGCTGGTGCATCCCAAAGCAGTGCACAACCATCCCTGTACGTGAACCTCATGAAAAAAATCCATAAATGAAAAAAATCCAAGTGCCAAGCCAGTAAATATTTTTCAATATTTGACTTCCATATTTTAACCACCAGCTGCAAATGCTTTGCTGTGTTTATATATAGATAGGATTTCCCTTGCTTCTCTCTCTTTGCCATTGGGAAGTGTTTCCCAGGGGGCTGGGAAGCAAAGCTGGAATAGCACAAACTGTTTGCTAATGGCTCTGAATGCTTTCCCACTGGAGATCCAGGACACTTAAGAGTGTTAAAAATAAGATAGGAGAGGGATAAATGGTGAAAGCACTAGTCAGTCCCAAAATCCTCTTGGCACAAAGGCTGCAGCAATGTTTGTGTTCCTCAGGGCAGAGGAAGCAGCGGGTTTTGTCCCTGAAGGAGAGGCAGGGAGTGCCCCAGGTTCAATGGGCTAACCTTGCCCAGAGCATGGCAGAAGCCCTGCAGCCCCACATTGTGTCAGGAAATGAGGGTGCCCCCAAAGCTGGGACACTGGGAAGGAGCAGACACCAGGGGGGTGAGCCCAAGGCCATGCTCATGCTGGGACCCCCGGCTCAGGGGTGCTCCTGTGCCTGTTGCAGGTGGTTCTGGAGAAGAGGAGACCCCAGGATGACCCTAAGGGGCTACAAGAGAGTTGAAGAGGGACTTTTGACCATGGCATGAAGTGGTAGCACAAGGAGAAATGGCTTAAACTGACACAAGCCAGGGCTAGAGGGGAAATTGGGAAGAAATTCTCTTCCCTGTGAGGGTGTGGGGAGAGGGTTGCCCAGGGAGGCTGAGGCTGCCTCATCCCTGGAAGTGTCCAAGGTTGGATGGGGCTTGGATCAACCTGGGGTAGGGGAAGGTGTCCCTGCCATGGCAGAGTGGGGAACTAAGTGATTTTTACTGTCCCTTCCACCACAAACCATTTCAGGATTCTGTGATACCTGCAGCCTGACTGGGAGTGCCCCGGGCTTTAAATCACCGTGCGCTCAGCAGCGAGGCACAAAGGGCACAAACAGATTATTGAATCCTAAAATTGCAGGTGAAATAGCACAAAAATGTAATGGCTTGAATCTACCCTCATTACAGCTGTGTCTCAGGTCTTTGGGAAGAGTTTTCTGGCTGCTGCTGTGAGTGATTTTCAAAGGGCAACTGAGAGGCCTGATCTTAAACCTCACCACAGAGACAAGTTCTGCAGGCAGAGAAAGGCAGCATCAGATTATTTGTGAGGCTGGATGGGGAGAAATTTGTTCCCAATTAAAATTCAGCATGTCAAGGATGGAGAAAGTACTGATGAGAGTCCTGTGTCTGGCTGTGACCTTTCAGGAGCTGTTGCACTGTTGTTCCTCAGAGAAGAGTGTTGCTCTCCTCATGCCCTGTTCTGCAATCCATTTAGAAATGCATCGTTAAAAGCATTAATTCCACTTTGAATTTCCATTTTTCCTGACCTTTTCAGTCTCCTGCTGCAGCATCCTCCTTCCCCACTAGCTTGGTGTCTCTTCTGAAAGTTATTGATGATATTTTTTAATGGCCTGGACAGTGCTAAAGCTGTTCCTCGGCATTTTAGAGGCTTCCAAGAGCAGAAAAAATGAGATTTTATAATATTTGAAAATTGCCAGCAGGGGTCAGGCTTACAAATAATTTAGGCAATCCAAGCTGCATATTTATAAAGGAGACATTTCTGTGCTGAGCATGATGTAGATCAACCTGCTTCTATGGAAAAGTTTGGAACTGTTGCCAAATGAATAGGAGAGATTACTTCTTCCTCATACCTGAAATTGCTGTTGCATAATTTTGGGATATTGGCAGATGGTTGCATACTCTATTATATGGTGCAAGGATTTTCAGCTTAATTTAGATAATTTAAAAGTATTAAGCAAGTTAATTAATTTTTAAGAATATTCTGAGAAAAGGCTCCTGAGAAAATTGAATCCAAAGAGCAGTGTTGTTCTGTATTAGTTGCACAATTAATTCCAAGAAGTTAACATGTGGAAGGGGAGAGTCTTGAAGGAGCATCAGGATTTTGTACTCTGTACTTAAATGCAAGCAAAACTTTTGTATCCAATCTTTTATACATAAATCTCCTGCCTAACAACTTTGATAGAGTTCTCTGAAGGATTCACCCATCATTCACCAATCTAAGGCTGGTATGGTTGATCAAATGTATTTGACCTTTCAGAAAGCTTTGAGCCAAAGGTCATAAAGAAACTTTGATGGAATAAAAAAGGAGATTTTTTTGTTGGATTGATAAGAATATATAAACCCTGGAGGTCTGGCTGTCCCAGTCTGTGGGGGTGGCCAGTGGTGGGTGCCCATGTGAACTGGACAGAACATCTGGGTACCTTGCCAGGAGGCTCTCCTGGATTCCCTGTGCCTTGTCTCCAGGATTTCCTGAGCTACAGATAAGCAAGATATTTTTTACTTTGTAAAACTCCATGCATTTTTCTTCTGTTAATTTGCTTGTGTAATACAAAGTTAAAATATGGAAAATCAAAGAATAAATGTTTTCACAATGCTGAGGGTTTTTCCACTACGTCCTAGAATGGTTTTGATTGGGAATTGGGAACTTGTCCAACACAGAAAAGGGGTTTGTGAGTAGTGAGGTGGCAGAGTTTGAGATAATAGGAAATTTTTCAGCTTATCAGAGCATTCAGAATTTCAGAAGAAATCTTAGGATACTGCTTGAGATGGGAGATGAAGTTGCATGTCAATAATTGCCAAACCCATGCACATAAGAAAAAAAAACCCCTTACTTTTACTCCCACAACAGAGAGCTCTAAATGAGCTGTTGTCATTCAAGAAAGAGATCTGACATTATTGTGAAGAGCTTTCTGAAATATCAGCTAAGTGCTCCATAGTTAAAAATACAAATAGAATACTAGAAGCTGTTGGAAAGAAAGTTGAAAATAAAGCAGAAATCCTTATTGTATCACTGATTATGTCTGAGTAGCTCTTTGTAGTTCCAGCTTATTTCATGTCAAAAACTCTATATAAAACTTGAAGGACCGAGGAAGAACAATAAAAAAATGGAAAATCCTTGGTGTGAAGGAAGACTAAACTGAGATTCTTCAGGAAATAATAGAGGAGGCCTGTACTGTGGTGTGGAGAGGGGAGTGTGGTACAATTATTCACGACTTTTCATAGCAGAACTAACGGGCACAGTGAAATAATCTCATGTGAAGTATAAAACAAACTGAACTAATTTTTTATACAGCACATAATTAAATTGTGGAACTTACTGCCAAGGAGTATTGTGAAGGCCAAAAGTATAAATCAGATCAAAAAGAGATTTGATGCCTCATGGAGGTTTTAGCTGCTGGTGATTATTAAACATGATGGTCTAGACTCAGTCTGTGGTTCAAAAGGTATCCAAGCTGAACTTGCTTTATGTTCAAATTGTGTATTTTTAATATTCTTTTACAAATTAAAGTTTCATCATATAAACACGTCACTTTTAACCATATGTTTTAGCTGCCTCTGTAGTGCAGTTTTCTGGTACTGAATGCAGGAATAATCTGATACCATTTCTAGTTTCATGCTGTACTTGATTATTTGTGGTGGGACTGTGCAGGGACACCCAAAGTCTATTATAATTTTCCCTTCTTCTCCAGGTTGAAAATTGAGGAGCTGGAAGCTGAGCGCAGCAAGCTGGCAGAGGAGAACAGATCTCTGGGAATGCAGCTGGAGAAGCTCACTCTGCAGGTAGGAGTGTGGGGGTCCAGAGCAGCTGGAGACCACCATGGTGTGGTCCATGAGGGCTCCCATCTGGGCAAGGCACCTTTGGGCAGCCTGTGCTGACTGCACTGCCACACCTGTGTTTCTGACCATGCCATCACAGGGGTTTGATCTCAGATGTAATCACACAGATTCAGTTGTCCTGTTGGATGACTCTCTCTAGGGCTTCTCTTCTTGGAGCCTTAAAATGGGTCTGTATTAAGTAGCTTCACCACTAGAAGTTGTCTGTCCCCAAATTCATTCATGACAAAGTGAGAGCATAGACAGGGCTGGACAGCATGGAGTGGATGGGAATTTTGAGCTTTGTTCATGTTGAAGTCTCCTCTCTGCTGGTGTCAGTGATGAGAGCAGAGGCCACCTCAGCAGGCAGGAGTTTTCCAAGGCAGGAACCATCAGTGCTGTGGAGGGGGTGAGCTGGCAGCACCCAGAGCTGTGGAGTCAGGAGGATGGAGATGTGTTCCCTTTGCTGTGCTACCCTGTGTGCTTTGCCTTTCCCTGGTGCTGGCCTCTATGGCAGAAAGTGTTCAGCTTTTGGGATAGATCTGTGAAATCCTACACGAGGGCACCTGCAGCAGAGAAGTGGGCTTGGTGTTCAGGTTGTTGTGACCCTAGGAACAGCTTTCCTGTGCAGAGGAAGAGCAGGGGAGTTGCTTCAAGCTTTTAGTTGCTTCAAGCTTTTGTGATGTTTCCTGTTTGAAAGATGCTGGAGCAAACGAGAACCTGACCCTGTTGGTTCAATCAAAACCCACCCACCCTTCTTGAAGAAGAATATTATCTCTTCCTTCTTTTCTCTCTGATGTGCTGAACAATTTGTCATTGTAGCATTCGCTTAATTTTTCTTTCTTTTTATCTTTATTTTTCCCTTTTTTTTTTTTTTTTTTTTTTTTTTGCAAATTGCTTCATGGTAGAAAACCTGCATGAAACCTGGTTTGAAATTACCCAGATTTCAGCCAGACCATTGATTTTATCTTGACACCTATTAGACGTGAATCAAAATTTCTTTTTTTTATTACCCGTTCCTGGAGACAGGGGAAGTGACAGCTTTGATAAAGCAGGGAGCTAAGAGCTGCTGAGCATCTCTGCTGAGCCATGTTTAGTGTGAAACCTGTCACCCTGCTCTCCTTTAATTGGGTTTCAGTCATCAGAAGGAGATGAAAGCTTTGGGCTGGTGTTTGGATGCTTAGGTCTCCCAACAAACACACAAGCAGCTTTGGTTTCAGACCAGATTACAGCTCAGGTCATGGTTAATCTGCCTACATGGTCTTAGAGTGGTTGCTGGCTTTCCAAGAAGGGCTGACCAGAGGAATTCCCTATTTTAGTCATGGTATCTTGAAATGTCACAAAGATCTGCTTTATTTATTCATACAAAGATGAACCAAGTGATTTGAGATGCCAAGTCTTAATAGCAGGTCTAGGAAAGAGAAGGCTTGGAGTTAGTGAGCTGAATTCAGGTAATGATGCCCTTCCATCTCTCTTGGCAAGACTGAGGACATGGCTTTAACTCCTTATTTAACAGAAGGCTGCTCCCCCTGTCCCTGAAGTCTCACTTTGCTTGTGCCTTAGAGAACTTGATGCCTAAAGTAGTTATTTTGAAAGAGAGGGAGCAGAGAGGAAAGCACAAGTACAGGAATATGTCAGCTGAATGCTAAAGTGTCAGTATTGATCAGTGTGTGCCCACCTGAATGGCCAAGAACTCCTCAGAGGGAAAAACATCAGCCTTCCCAATTTTTATTCACCCTGTGAATCAAATACCTTGACAGGCCAAGCTTAAAATGACTCTTTATATAAACACATTGAAAGAAGGTTTGTTAGAGTGAGAACCCACAAAGTTAAGGAAAAGCTTAGAAATTCACCTCTTCTATCAGTGCTGAGCAAATATGCTGAAAATGTCATTATACACTCAGATAAGGTCACTGAAGTGTTGCTAGTTTGACATGTTATTTATTCCCACCTCTGAAAGAAATTATTGGGAAATGATGGGTTAAAATAAAAGTCTGTATTTTGAAAGGAAAAAAAGCAAGACAAACTACATACAGAAGTCACAAGGAAGTTTTACTGAACAGGAAGATGACTAAAACTACAAAAATGGGAGAAGCATGACTTCAAATCAAATAAAGATGTAAGAGAAGGGGCTGACATTAAACCAGGTAGAATGAGGGTGATTTCTGACAAATCCTTATCTGCAGTTCTTTCTTGTAAAGTAAAATCTCTGACTCCTGGAATTTTATCTACTAAAGGAAAGAAATGTAGAAGGGACATATTAAAGTTGGGAATTTTGAAGAGACAGGTTGTAGAATTAAGGCTCTGAGTGCTTTACACTGAACTGAATCTGTTGAGTTCACAAAGTTGTGTTTGGTGCATGAAATCTAGGGAGATACAGCTAATAATTCATAATTTAAAATGTCAGTTTGAATGTATTGAGGTATGGAGTTTCAAAAGTGTTTGTCTCCAAATCAGGGAATCATTTAGGTTGAAAAAGACCTCAGATCATTGAATCCAACCTATGGCCCAACACCACCAGACCATGGCACTGAGCCATGTCCAGGCTTTCCTTAAACACCTCCAGGAATGGCAAATCCACTGCTTGCCTGGGCAGCCCATTCCAATGTCTAATCTCCATTTCTCTGAAGAACCTCCTCCTCTCACATCCTTCTGTATCTGAATATTGGCACAGGAATTTTGCTGATTTCTCACAAAAACCCACTTTGTGAGCAAGGGGACCCCGATGGACTGGGCAGGGGCCAAAGGAGCACCTGGAAAGGTGCTTTTGGTGTGTGACTCAGACTCCTTGAGCTCAGTATTAGCAAAAGAACTAAGGTGCTGATACCTCTCCTCTCCACAGCCATATAATATCTGACATCCTTTTGTATTCTGTGCTTCTGTGGGGACAGCTTGAATGATGCCTGAAGGTGTTTTCCACCTCCACACACCCTGTCTTCCAAAACCCCTTGCCTCTTGACACCTAGCTGCAGGCTGCATTGATTTTCCTTCACTGGTATAAAGACTTTAGCATGGATATCACTCACTGGCCAGGTCTTTACTGCTAATGAAAACCTCAGATTACAAAACACAGGAGATGTAGAGCTGTAGAGAAATGACACCTGGTTGAGACTGCCTCCCTGGTGCCCAGGATATTATCTTAAGGAAAACATTTGAAACCCTGGCTCAGGAGAGGGATTCAAATAATATGAAAAGAGTGGGCTTAAACACACAATTTTATCTCATCTTCTCTACCCTCCTTCCTTTTGATGAAGCAAAATAACATTTCCAGGAAACCTGAGCTGCTACTACTTGGCCCATGGTGGGCAGGCTGAGATTTCAGAGAAAGGCTTGGTTTGTTTGTTATCTGAAGTGATCTGGACCATCTTCCAGAGGTGCTGGTGGAAAAGTGCAGCTTGATGCTGGGAACAAAAGAGACTGATCAAATCAGTGCTTTTTGGATAAAGTGGGAGGAAGGAGTTGTGAGGAGTGTTCAATTAGCATTTCTTACTGCTAGGAGCCCTGTGTTTACAGGCAACCAAGCGGATGTGAAGTGTTCCTTATGCAAATACTACTCTCCTGCTTTTCCTGCTCTCCTCTACTCTTCCAGCTGAAGAAGAGATTCTTCAAGGTTGGCTGCTTCAAGGAAGATTGATTAAAATCAGCTGCAGTTTGATTTAATTGGATCCATGTGCTTGGAGAGGGAGCAGGACTAGTTAAAGCCCTCGTAATTAGTTCACAGCTGGTTGGTGAGAAAAATGAAACTCCAGTTAGAGTTCAGATAAGTGGATCTGTATGGATAAAAGGCAAGTAGATGGGTGGTTTTTTTTTACATTGAGATGTGTTTGGGCTTGAAAATCACCTCTAGTCCCATAGCCAAGCTGGCAGCGTAATCCCTTTGAGCATGTGCATGTGTATTTATGAGGCTGAATGGAAAGAATCTGTATTTTCTGGCTTGTTTCTGAGTAAAAAGAATCACCTGTGCATGCTGGCAGTCAAAAAAACCTGATAGAAAGCTGGGAGAGGATCTCGGGAGTAGACAAAACCCAACAAGGGCAGTTTGTCTGTGGGAAAGGGTCATGACTTGGCACAAACTCTGCACTGTCCAGCTTTTACTGCCCTGTCCTTACTCACAGTAGTAACTGGTTGTGTTTAGCATCTCTGTGAATCAGCAATAAGACAACAACACTCTCAAAAAAAAGCAGTATTATTCATACATATTGAAATTATTGATTTTTGCCTGTTATTTCAAAACTCTGAAAGAGCTGACTGACCACATAGTGTGGGGACAGTCATCAGAAATCTTACCCCAGACAGAAGCTGGAATTTATGTTAAACTTTGCTGTTGGACTGGAAGGGACTGCATTGCCTATTATGGTGTTCTTGAAAGAAGTACCTGCTGGGTTTAGTTCTCCAGAAGTGAGATGCCCATGAATGATAGAAATGCTGGACCCCCAGAGCATTCATGTGTTTCCCTTTCCCCTTATCTCTGCAACCCTCGTGCTTGGACTGGCCTCCTCCTTCTTCTAGTGCTGTATTTTGAGGGAATAACAAAACATCTGGGAGCTGTACCCCAGGGGAAGGTGGACAGAGAATGTTTCTCCTCTTTGAGCATTAATGACTCATTTTATGGTTAGGGCTTTGGCAGCCAGGCAGTGACTGGCTTGGAGTTAAGAGCCCAAGGGAAAGCTGAGGTCATTTAACAGTCTAACTGTTCATTTTGTGACCAGTAAAGAATGATGAATGAATCATTTACACTGTTATAAAACTTAAAAGGACATAGTCAACCTTTCAAGGTTCTCTAATTGGCCTCTCAAATGCTCACATTCTTCCTGGATTATCTCCATCCATGCCTTCCCTTCTCACAAACTTCCTGTCCTTTTTCCTTCATCTGTGCATGCCTAGGTCTGTGTTAGCCTCTGTGGCACAGCTGGTCCCTGTAGAAAACCTCACCTATCTAAGTTCAGCCTTTTTTTTTTTTTTAGAAG